ATTATCTCTTAATAGGAACCCCTTACAATATATTTTGAAGAAAAGTTATAAATTTGATAAACAAAATGGATTGAGGTCTTATATTTATGATCATATCTAACTCCAACTAGTTCTTATATTAATAACCGTATATATAATGCATGTGTTAAGGACTGGATGGCATTATTCTGGTTAATATAATTTTTTTCTATGGTTAATATATCAATTAAAATATAGGACAGCATATTAATTCGTATTGCGTACACGTTTCCCCTTATGAAAATAATAATAATAATAAGTGGTAACGTGTAATGTTAGGATCCATTATCAATTTGCATTGCATCCATACGTGCGTGTTTGTTCCAATTAATTTTGTCTCTAAATACAAATAAATAAGATGGATTGGTTGTCATCAGATTTTAAAAATTTTAATTTAATAATGGTTGGGCCGCTGAAATGTAAATCAAACATTTAATTCTTATAGATGATTTCCAATGATTTGCGACAGTGCCTCACATATTTGAAACTATTTAAATCAATATTTGAAACTGAATTTTAATAAAAAAATTTTATGACCTAATTGTGCATCACTAAATTGAACTCTTGCGACCTAATCACGATTTTCCTAATAAACTATCAGCCTGTTTAGTACGGTGTTTTGAAAGGAAAAAAATAACTTATAGGTGTAATAATTTAATTTGTAAATTTTGGAGCTGTTTGCATAGCTTTTAATTAATTTGACTTATGAGTCAAAAGTTACATTGTTAAACACCATTGTACAAACATATAAAACTTACTTATGACTTATGCAAAAGTAGTTTTTTGAAATTAAAAGATATTTTTGCCCTAATATTTATGTTGTTCTTATACTTCTTTCTATATATTCTCTGTGCTTCCCAATTAGTTTTTAATTTTTTATTTTTAATATTCACTTAAATAAAAATCATTTTTAACAATTTTTATAGTATTTTTAATTTTTAATATTATTTTTTATTTTATATCTACATAAATTATGGAGAGTATATTATTCAATTAATTATATAATATTATTTGGTTCAAAATTCTCCACATTACAATGATTTCTAATTTAAATATATTTTATTCATTAAATATAATTTTTTCTATTATAATAATTTTAAATTATTATATTTTGTAAATTCATATTTTTTATTATTTTTCATTATTTAATAAAAGTCTTATCTTTTTTGATCATTTTACAAACTAAACTTACTAATTCAATCATAATCAAAATAACTTTTTTATTTTATAAACTAACTTTTATAAAAGTCAATCCAAACACAAATTACATTACACAATCTAAATTTTACTCAATTTTACTTTTCTAAAAATCAAATTGAAAAATAAGTTACTTGTTCTACCGTATATTCAAACATTATATCTCCAGTGAAAATAAGAAATTCTCGTCTTATATCAATTGAGTAAATCATATACTTATATATGAAATATAAAATCAAAAAAATTATAAAAATCGCAAATTATCATTATTGCAGTTTTTTAACTTTTCTACACGTTTAATTAGACTCATCAATGCAAGTTTCTGTTTATTTTAATTTTTTTACATATTTAAATAAATTTGAAATTAACAAAATTGTACAATCTTTTAAATAAATTTTGCATCATCATGATCTCTTTCTAGCATCACAAGGAAAAAATATATAACTGCAAATTGGAATCTAGGTCATTATATTATATGTATATATTTGACAAAAGAACCAAACTTTTGAATTCAACCATATGAAATAAAAATTTAGAAGAATTACTATACGGTCATAAGAAAATAAAATAATTATCAAAACATTCAAATGACAAGTAAGGATTTATTAATTTCTATTAATTATATTCCTTCCTTAATATTTCATAACAATTATCCTCGAAAGTTTCACAGTCGAAGCTTTTTTTTTAATGACATTTGACTTTGGATCGTTTTGACATTAAAGAACAAGTTAATCAAGGGCCGAATGCGCATCCAGGATGTCTCTCACTCATGAGAGATGATATTTCCCAGCAACCCACTATTTGAGTTTCTCTGAAATCCGCCTCACAAGTTGTCTTAACTTGCCCTTTGTATTCAAAAAAAAAAAAAAGGGGCGATCAACAAAGCGAGGCAAGTGTAAAATTAGACGATTTAGATATTATTTCATTTTTACGATATTTTTATAATTGTTAATACTATTTTAAAATAGTTTTAGAATTCATGTGCCCTAGGATTTCTCTCCAGCCTCTTTTCGACTTTCTGTCCTGTATGCAAATTTAAAATATGTATTACATCGACTTCCTTTAAAAACTGTTAATTAAACTAGAATATAATAAACCCCTTCTTTTATATATATGAAAGTTTAAAATTCAGAAATATCGATAAACCCCTTCAACAAAATCTATCCAAACTTTTCTAAATCAAATAAAAGACCTCTACTCCTCCATTTCTTTCAAATATGAGATCGGATAAGTAACAGGTCTAACGTTCCAAGATTATATGTAAAATTGAGCATGCAACCTCCAACTTATTAAAAAAAAAAATTCTCATCTTAATTACTATACTACAAACTATTATTTTTTGAAAAAAAATTAAAATGATAATATATTAAAAATGAAAGAGTTGCAAATCAAACTTAATAAAAAAGACGAGAATTAGAGAGTTCAAACATAAAAAGAACAATTTAATGCACAAGGCATCTCGTGCTCATGTAGATCAGAGTCTGAGAAAAGGCCGGATCTCGTAATAAGATCTAATGTTTCAATTATCAAAATGGGAGAGATTATATAAGAACAAAGATCACTTGAATGATACAACTCTCAGACATTTAAGAACGTAGAATACAAACTAATTGGCCTATTAGTTAAGCAGCAAAGCGAGATGAGTAGTAAATCATCATATTGCGGGGTTGTCAAAAACAACGTGGTAGTTCCATGAACGGCAAAATTGTGGCTGCCTATGAGAGCTGATTCTCTATTTCTCACAAGAGCAGCAGTGGCGTGTGGGCATGTGATGGCATGCTCTCCTCTCTTGGATTATGCGAACCGCCGAACGGCGCAGATTGAATTGGGCATGGCCCCATCATGAGGTGGGGAATCCTAATGCGCTTAATAGGAAAATTATAGATAATTCCCAATTAAAAAAATTAATTACTACTAGTACAAGTAAATTTCTTAAATCGGACTTATTATTAGTAGGCCTTGTAGAGAATTTGTGTAAAAAAATTAGATAAGTTATAATTTTTTAAGTTTGACTCGGAAATGTTGTTGCATAATATGGGGGAAAAAATTAATTGCACAAATTGTTTCAGGGATCTATTAGCAATTAATTTGCTCATTTGGGATGTGTGTCTCTGTGTGTAATATTTTCTTTTTAGGATGAGAAACCTTTTGATTTCTTAAAGCTTGCATGAATTATCGATTTAATCCTGAAGTACTAGTATAATTTTTATCGATCAAGGTCCTGAGTTTCATAACCACATACAATTAGTCCTTGTGAAAAAGAAGTATGACTCCAGTGATAATAAATGAAAATATAAAATTGCGCGTGAAACTGTATAAGCGTCATTAATAAAAATTAAATTTTAAGAGCCAAAATTAATAGGTTAACTTAAAAAAGCCAAAAGTTTCATTATCCCATTCTCTTAATTGATGTGATTGATACATGAATGTGAGAAGCGTGGTCACTGTACAGGATTCACAGGATCGGCGGTCATCATTTTCAATTTTGGAGTGCGTCCGCGTGGTCCACTTCCTGTTTATTTATATTATTAATCATAATTATTAATTACCATCTTCAACGTTTTGAATTCAGACGGCATTTATACAGTTTCACATTAAATAATACTCCCTCCTCAATTTATTTAATTTTGCTTGGAGTAATTTCATAATACAAGATATTTTGAAAAAACAACAATTCTTTAATGATACTATTTCAAAATCCTTTCATCAATTAACTGTGAATTAATTAGGATTTAGTGTTAAAGAAAGAGTAATTTTAATAGTTTATACTTCTATTTTACAATATAAGAATCTAACTAGAAGAATAGTTTAAGAAACATTAAATGAGAGCATACGCGTGTAAATTAATAAACTCATGATGCAAAGAAGACGCTGGATAGTCAGAGACGAATGGACGATTCAATTAATCATAATGAAGGATTTTCTCACTTTTTTTTTTTTGCTTGTATATAGAGAAGACCGAACAGAGGAAATCATGACTAGCGAATGTGATATATATAGGCCCTACAAAATTTGTCCCATATATATGCTTCGGATATATACGTGTGTATAACTTAAATGAACGCGACTCCATTGAATGTATCTGCTTATATATGTACACACACGCATACAACCCTCAGTCTTTAATATAAGAGCTAGTTTCACATTCAATTGGATTCTAAATATAACAACGCAATTCACTTTGTCTATCGTATTTATACTTTTTTTTAAAGTAATCATTGTAATAGTTGTACATGTTAAATGTTTCATCAAAATGTAGCTTTAGCTAATATATATAGCTAGGGTAATCTAAAACAAATCAATACCTAATTATTATAAATAACTAATTTAATAAATTTTCTTAATCTACCTAAATTTATCAACTTGCTCTTATAGTAGTATTTTATAGACACGTACATCTGGCGGTGTTTAGTGATAAATTTTGGGACAATTAAAATTAAATCCTAAAGAAGATAAATAATTATTAAAAAGTTTTAGTAACAACCTAAGCATGATGACAAGTTCTAGAATGAAGAATAACAACATTTGAGAATTGTTGTGATTTTTTTTTCCCTTCTTGGGACCTCATTGTAATCTCCCATATATTTTTCTTTCATTAAGCTGAATAGTTTTGGTATTTAAATTATATTATTGAAATGATTTAATTGACAAATTTTTTTGCCTAAAAACATTGCATTCTGGCACTTTAATAGGAACAATTATTGTACAATTAAATGACAACAAATCATGATATATTATTGATCACATTCAAGGGACATACTTATATGGGACTGCACAATGTAATATACCATCAAATCAAACAACCCTATGTATATATATCGTTGATACTGGAAAGTAAATCTTGTTAAAAATTACTGCTAATTAAGAAAAAAAATTAAATATTACAACGCAGCTTGGAAACAATAACTAAATATCAAGAACAAAAATACACTAAGTTAGCGTAATTCAAAGAGTTGTTTGAGATTGTAAGGGTGAGTGAAATCATTATTTCCAGCCCACATGAGGTTGGCGAAATGTTGAGCTGCAGCTTCTGAAGGATGAATGGAATCAAAATAAACATAATCATTCACATTCTCACATAACTCATATTCTTCAATTCCTCTTTTGCCCCCACAGCTATAATCTCCTCTGTATGTGCCTCCTCCGCAGCAAGCCACCTCTCCTTCTTTGAAACCTGTTCTCAATACCAATCACAAATATCGTTACCACCACAGAATTAAAAATGTCCATTCGAAAGATTAAGAGTAGTCTTGTAATGTCCCCTCTAATAATAGCCACATGAATAATATTTTATTTTGTCAAGTAATTATTAAGTGCATGTAATGATGTTTTAGGGCATACCATATCTGGAAGGGTACTTCATTACTTCAACAAGGGCACCGTAGAAGTCAGTGAGAGAGTATTTGAATCCCTCAAGCTGTTTCTCCAGTTTCTGAAGCATTGTGGGGAGAACTTTTCTGTGTAATCTTGCAATTCCTGAAGCTTCTTCTTCTTGGCAGGCATCTAAGCTGCTTCCGTTTTTCATCATCCTGAATATTGGGAAACAATTCATAGGACCCACATTAAGCAATCCGAATTTCCTTCCACCTTCTTTGTAAATTTCCTGCAAATTATAATACATGATGAGGCTCATCATGACTGCTACATATACGAAAAACAATTCACATACCTAAGTATATACTACCTCCGGTTTTTAATATACATATTCAATCCAGTCCTAAATATGAAATCTCAATCCATTTTGCCTTTTACATATTTATCCATTTTGTATCTAAGTAGTCCTTATGGGATTATCCATTTTAGGAAGTTTCCATTAAAGGTAGTTCTAGTGCACATAATTAATAAAAATATTTTGAGAAAAACAATATCTATTTATTATAAATAATTAATTTACCTCATTTTTTTAATATTTGTAAATTAGTTATCTAACTCTTGTATTAAGTAGGGGAGGTAGTATATAGCACTTGAAAAGGCGACAATAAGTTGGATTAAGCATTTGCATACATGTATGGCGCTTGATATGTTGCCGATCACGACATCCACAAATTGTGCTTGAGGATAAGGAAGAACGACAGTGCTGGAGGTCGTCAAGAAGGGGGCAGAATAGTCATTTCCTCCTATGCTAAAAATATAAACGGCGTTGGATAACAATGCCTTGGCTTCTGCATCTCCCAGTTTCTGCTCCAACAGCTTGCCAACTTGTTTGAAGTGACTCACTTGTGTTTTCAGGTCTATCGCCTAAAAAGTAATAAAACCAGTGAGAAAATAATGTTCATATAGTACAATTTTTGTTAACCTTAAACTCTCAATGATATAGAGCTTTCCATATATATGATCATATTGGACAAAAGAAACTTACTGTTCCTTGGCGAGTTTCAACAAGAGCTCCGGCTCCGGCAGATGCAAAATTCGCCCCATAAATATAATCGTCACCATCGTTTGATGCCGTACGCAGATATGGCGGCAACAGGGGCAAGTTGGCATATTTAGCAATGAAATCTGGGAGGACGAGGCCATCGGAAAATCTTCCGGTGGCATATTTGAAGAAAGTAGTGTGGCCATAAGGAGCACAGTTGGCCTGAAGAAAAGGTATAGTTTTGATGAAGTTGTTGTTTCCGACCTCAAACAGTGAGTCTCCAAATACGAACAAGGCTGCTGGTTGGTTCTCCGGCAGGCAGATTTTGTTTCCAATAACAATATTGATCATCACACACAAAATCATCAGCTTCCTAGTTAAACTTGCCATAGCCGTAGCCATGCTAATTCCCCGATTCACTTATTTTCTAATGTTGCTAGCTTTGTCACACAGATTTCTGGCTCCCATAAAACTCTCTCCCTCTGTGTGTGTGTGTGTTTTTTTTTTTGGGGGGGGGGGGGAGTAATAGGCCTTTGTAGTTTGTAAGCAAAAGGAAAGGCCGGCATGTTGTCGTTTTGCCTATAGAGAATGAAAAATCTGAGTCAGATGGCAGAATGAGTGAGTGGTCAACTGTCGTATTGCGGTTCAGACGCGGACCCTCGCCGATTATGTGATGTTGGAATGTAAACGACACAGTACTTTGGACTACTGAACACATCAATAACGACAAGAATCACGTGGCCGCCAACTCTGATATCGTCGCCACCCGTGATGATTATGGATACAAAACCAAAACCAGCATGTGTTGATGCCCACATAACCACATATATACTTGCGAGTGTTAAATTTCAAAAAAAAAAAAGTAAAAAAATAAAACTGAACTTTTTTGTCTATAAGATATCAAAATTTTACTCATTTTATGTGAAATTTAATGATATAAAGACAAAAAAAAATTTGGAAAGAGCCCCGAAAAACGACCACTTGTGACCATCTTCTTTTGACTTAATAATATGAAAGCTCGAGGTTGTGAATTTGATCCACTTGTTAGAGTGCTAATACCGACTCATCTAATTCAAAAGGAAAAAGAAAAGCACCATGTGGGGTGGGAGAAAAAGCAAATTCATCAAGGTGGGCGGTGTGGCATGGTCTTCTCTGTAAGATGATAGATGTGGACGGTGCAGATTGAAGGAACAGGACCCTGTCCTGGCTTGGTGAGATATTTAAATGCATCACGCAGATAAAGGAGGTTTGGTGATAAGTTTCGTGGTGATTCTAGTTTGTACAGCGACCACAGTGCATATATGATATTCAATTATTGAGATTGATTAAGGTCGGCACTTGTATAGGTTGACCTTTGAGCTACAATTAAATGAAAAGTATTTAAACAGTTATTCTTCTAATTTTATTTATAAATCACTTCCAACATGTTTCATACAAATTAAAAATTTGTTTCTCGGCCCTTCAAATAAGACTAGAGGAATATGGGAGAAACGCACTGCCTGCAACATACGAGACGAACCTGAATGCTAATTAACCGCACATCTTTAATTACTGAAGCACATTCAAAGTGTTGTTACTTATTTAATATATGAATGTAACATACTAATTAACATATAAAGGATGGATCAACGTCCTTCTGCTGCATATATGTATGTGAAAGGATTTTTAATATTCAAAGAGTTGTTTGAGATTGTAAGGGTGGGTGAAATTTCCAGTTCCAGCCCACATGAGATTGGCAAAATGTTGAGCAGAAGCTTCTGTAGGATGAACAGAATCAAAATAAACATAATCATTCACATTCTCACATAACTCATATTCTTCAATCCCTCTTTTCCCTCCACAGCTATAATCTCCTCTGTAAGGTCCTCCTCCACAGCAAGCGACCTCCCATTCTTGGAAACCTTCCCAACAACAATAAATTAAATCAGTAATAATAATCCTTTAATGGAATTACTTACGTACAATTGTCTTCATTTCAGTTAAAACAAAAAAAAAATCTCAATTATACTCCCTCACTCCGGTCCCGGCCCAGGTCGGATTTGATCATAAAACTAATTTACCTAACTTATAGACTAATATACAAGTTAATGTTATGTGGGGGTATTTTAAAGAGATCATGTCATATTTGTTATGATTAACTAATTTATTCAAAATTTTTAATTTACTTAAATTAGTTAAGTAACATACCATAATTTGAAGGGTATTTCATTAGTTGAAGGAGGGCATTGTAGAAGTCAAAGACGGTGTATTTGAGCTCAGTGAGTTGTTCCTGCAGTTTCTGAAGCTTCTGTGGAAGAACATGATTGTGAAGTCTTGCGAGTGAAGCAGCTTCTTCTTCCTGACAACTACTTATACTGCTTCCGTTTCTCCTCAGCAATGGAAAACAACTGAATGGAGCCGCATTCATTAACGCGAATTTTCTCCCACCTTCCTCGTATATTTTCTGCACTTTCATCATCAGAATTATCATCCAACCAGAAATTATTATCAAAACGACGACAAGTTAACACACACACACACACACACACAAGCATGCATGCGTACTTGGATGGCGCTTGTTATGTTTCCGGTGACAACATCGACCATCTCTTGGGGAGGCTATGGGAGGACGACGGTGGAATTCGTGGGGGAGACAGGAGTAACATAGTCATTGCCGACCAAGCTGAATATGAAGACAGCTCTAGAAATCAGTGACTTGGCTTTTCCTTCGCCCAGTTTGTTCTTCAATTGCTGGCTCACTTTTATGAAATTACTTGCTTGAGTTCCCAAGTCTATCACCTAATAAACAACAATAATTAACACGATTTCAATTCCACGTACAAAATTGCACGCTAATCCCCCAGTATTATAATATAATTAGACTTCTGGCTTGAACGAAGAATATCACAGGGGGGAAAAAACCCTGTGTGTTATTCAATATTCATCTTGAGATCGATGCAGTACGTAAGGCTCACTCAAATTAACTTAATTAAGAAAAACAAACACAAAAATTGATACCAAAGCAAGCCATATATTTATTCTAATCCTAAATTTAGGGCATTTTATTTAACTATAATAAAACCAATGAATGTTGAAACTCACTGAAAATGTCCAGACATTAAAGGAAATTTCCAACTTCACCCCCACATTAAATTTCTGTGGCCCTTGGTAAACGAAGGAGTATAAAATGGGAAAAACTTCATAATCTAACATTTGATGATTATTTATAAAATGGCCCAACAAATTCTTTTGGAAGACACCTAACAAAATGGACCAACAAATTCTTTACACTTAACCAATATTAACAAATTCCCTTATTAATGTTAGGAAATTAAAGTGGCTTATAAGGATTTATAAGCCATATAATGAGATATAGACCAGCTGACAAAATAACACCACATGGAACGTTCAAACATAATTTCAAATGTTAATTAAACACGCATGTACATAATATCAATACTGTTAGCAATATTACCTCTGATTCTAAATATAAATCATAATTACCGTACCTAACATACATGTTAAGAAAGTCTAAATTTATTTCTCATCATGAATTGAATATTGTTTTTCAAACTTGCATAGAGTACCATGTACCTCACCAATGTAATTCCATCCAATACGAGTAATCAAAGACATTTGTGGAAAATATGTATTTTATGATATAGAGGTAACTTCAATTTTGAGCCCCTAATACTCTTTTTCTTAAAAAAAAATGGTGACTAATATTTGAAACTGGAGATTATATATATATATATATATATATATATATATATCAATCAGCGGTATTATATTAACATACTGTTCCTTGACGTGTTTCGGCTAGGGCTCCAGCTCCTGATGATGCAAAATTTACTCCATAAATGTAGCGATCATCGTAAATTCCAGGATACAGATAAGGTGGCAATAATGGCAACTTGGCAAATTCAGCTACATGAAACGAAACATAAACTAATTCAGCTAGCTTCCAATAAAATAATGAAACAAAATCATCAAGCTTCAAAAATTCATGTACTAAGACAAAGTTAAGAACATTAACTATCATTCCTTCCCTAAGATTTGGGAAGATAATTAACTTTATCCTGCAATAAATAGAACCTAAAACCGGATAGAATATTATATAGTACACTATACCAATGAAATCTGGGATTATGCGTCCATCGGAGAATCTTCCGGTGGGAAACTTGAAGAAGGTTTGGCCATATGGTTGGTAGTTAGATAGAAGATGAACGATGGTGTTGATGTAGTTGTTGTTTCCAGAATCAAAGATAGAGTCTCCAAATACGAACACAGCTGAATTACTTGGCAGCAAGCATATGGTACTGACATTAGCAATACTCTGGCCACTAGTGATTTTAAGGAAAACGATCGCAGAGAAACACAATATTAATAATGCTCTCGAACTTGCCATAGCTAGTTTCGGAACTACTAATAAACTTCCATCATTATAAATATGGAGGAACCCTATTTATAAGCATTCATTGTTAATAAACAGAATTTATCAGTGTCAATTATTGAGGCTGCCGGCCGGCCGTTCCTTGCTGGTTACTATTACAGGGCGCCAACACCGCCGCGTATTGGTTCTGTGAAATTGGGTTAATGTTTAACTTCCGAACACAGCGACAGGTTTAACTTCCTTATGGTTAGGTTTTAAAAATTGCTTAAATGGCGCTATGATGAGATTTGAATATATAGTCCTCTGGTCCTAAATATAAGTACAGCGCTTAGTTGGTTCTTCTGGCAGTGTCAGAGACGTTCATGTGTGCCAAGTTACTCTTCCAATTCTAAATATAAGATTAAGGCCCCTTTCGTAGTGTAATTTACACTACGAAAAAGGTCTTATATTTAAAACCGGAAGAGTATTTTGTATAAAATTTTGGATTATACGTAAGTACGGAATCAAAGGGAATTGAATATTAACCAATTAAATTAATAGAATGGTCGGTTGGTTTTTGAGGAACTCAAACGCAATAGTTTGACCAAATTAATAGAATATTAAATTCGATTAGATAAATAGATCCGTTATGTGTCATCTTTCAGTTTTAGCTGACATTCCTTTCTATGTTAAACATATTTACATTAGTTTAAGGTTTTGACACAATCAATACGAAACTGTGTAAAAAACAATCATAAGTATCGTAACGATATATTTTGAAACAACTAGGTTTTTCTTCTTTTTATAAGCTAAATGTTTAGGTGAGGTAGATCACAAAGCTTGCAAAATTACAGCATGCTTCCAGACTTAAAAAATATTTACAGAGTACTAATAGATCGTCCATTAACAAAGCACTCACATTAATAATTGGATTTAAACTATGGCCTTATATGTTATGAAGAGTAACTCCTTACCAACCATATCAACCTTTAACTGGGCTTTATTTACTTACTTGGACTGCATGAGTCAAATTGCCAGACACCATGGAGACAAACTTCTCTCAATTATAAGAATGAAAAGGGGTCTTGAGTTTTCTAACACACGGACCGACTACTCACTGAATCTTATGTTAAATAAGCATATGGCATCGGATACCAAGTTTTTTCGTTTTCAGAATCTCCATGTTTCTTCCTCAGTGATTTGTTGACCTTTTCCAAGTTTTCTAATTGAGTATTTAGATCTAGGACCAGAAAATCAAACATCAAGTTACTATGATTAATTAGCCTCGTCATCAGTTAGAAATGCAAGATCCAACGAAAGTCTTAGACCGACAGAGACACGGGATCAGACAGAGTTATAGTCCATGATCTCTCAGAATCAGAAACATATTATATGCGTTTTCAATGGGATGAGCAGAGACAACATGCGTATCCTATATGAATTTCAGCAAGAGCGCCCGATCTTCCTGATGCGAAATTCACCCCAGCACTAGGGTACCTAAAGTTCTGGCATAAGGAAGAGTATTGATGCAGTTATTTCCAAATACGAATAAAGCTGCATGCTTTCTTGGCACCCAAGTTTCTCAGAAGCAGAGCATCCCCTTCTCACAAATACCAACCCTGCTTCTATCTTTCCTCACCTTCATTGATCTATCAACCTCTGTATGAAACTCCCTTTGAAAATGTTCTCTCTCTCTCTCTCTCACCACACTGGCTTTAGGACGCTTAGGCTGATAGTATGAATACATGCATATGTAACGAACAACCAGATAGCTAGTGGCAGGGCATTTAGTAAATGATACTTCCTTCACGTCTGGCAACATTTTTGTTTTGTGTGTTTAGAGTTCAGACTAGTTTTATTATAGCAGCTGCAGAAAAGACTAGAACGCAACGGTAACAATAGTTTCCATGTTAATACATGACATTTCTATAAGGAAGATAAGTAAAAGTAGATCATGATGTCTGCTTAAAATATTCACTATGAAACATCAGATTTGGAAAGCAAAAAGATAATAATCTCAGACTCTAGACTAATATTCATGTATATTCAGTGTCAGTGTACTTGAATTTTAGGCTTTAAAAAGTGATTTCAGATTGTAAGGTGCAGCAACATGGGGATGTCCAATCCACATTTGCTGTGCAAAAAATTGATTGGCCCTATCAGTGGGATGAACAGAGTCAAAGAACACGTATTCACTTGAATTTCTACACAGCTCGTAACTTGTCCTTCCCAGAATACCTCCACAGGCTAACATTCCCCTATAAGGACCACTACCACAGCATGCCACACCACCTTCCTTGAAACCTGTTCAAAGTATAAACACAATAGTTAGAACAAACTAAACCTTCAATTCAGATTAAATAAAATAATTCACGAGAATCATGCATTTACTTACCATATTGAATGGGGTTATTAATTAGGTCAGTAAGTGAATCATAGAAATTAGCAAGTGAATATTTGAATCCTTTAAGCTGTTTCTGTAGCTTCCGCAGAATCCAAGAAAGTGCTTTGTTATGAAGTTTTGCCAGTACAGAAGCTTCATTTTCATGGCAGCAACATGTCCCATCCGCAAGCATCTTCATCTGTGGAACACATCCTATAGGGCCCAAGCCAAGAAACCCATATTTCCTCCCTCCTTCATTGTGAATTTCCTTCATATTAAAAGATATGATTTCAGATAATAAAAACAATTGTGAACGTGAATTGATACTGTAGTGCTAGTCACATACTTCAATAACAGTTGTCAGATTGCCCATCACCAAGTCAACATATTGGTCTCGAGAGTATGATGAAAAGGCACTGGAATTCACAACCACACGTTCTACATAATCATTGCTTCCAATGCTGATCAAGTAAACAGCTTTGGATATCAAGCCTTTGGCTTTTTCTTCTCCTATTCTCTTCCTCAATAGCTTGGTGAAGTTCTTGAAATACTCAAGCTGAGTTTTAAGGTCTATCACCTGGGAAAATATCAAATTGGGTACATCAATCTCCCAAATATTTCAAGATAAGAAAGAAAAAAACAGCATCCAATATTCAGTATAAAGACATGTTTAGATGATAAAATATGTGAGAAATACCTGTCCTTGACCAGTTTCACAGAGAGCTCCAGATCCACCAGAAGCAAAATTGGCCCCATCAAGCCATTGTCGATAAGCAGGGTGCAAATAAGGAAGAGCCAGTGGCAGATTCGCATACTCAGCTGCGGAAAATTTTTGTTTTTAAAAAGAAGGGTATGATCTAGAACTCAAATTCAGACAACCCATAGCGAGGGGAAAAAAAAAAGAAAAGAAAGTTACCAACAAAATCAACAATGGTTCGTCCATCAGTATATCTGCCACTGGGGTAGTTGAAGAAGGTTTGGCCGTAGGGAAATCGGTTGGCCTGAAAGGGAATTTTGGAGGTGAGGTAATTATTGTTTCCGACGTCGAAGAGGGAATCCCCGAAAACGAACAATGCGGCGTCGTTTGTTGGTCGGCATGATTTAGCACAGCAGCGAACTGGGATGATACAGAGAAGTGAAAAGAGACGGATAATTAAACCAGAAGTGGCCATCTATTCCAAAGTTTTAGAATTGAGCAGAAATGGTTAGTGTTATGTGAAGGCACTAAAACAGAGGAGAGTGTGACTGTGGAGTGGTGAAATGTGATAGTGAACCAAGAATCCAACGCGGCCCCTCCGGCATTGTTTGTTCATTTTAGGCCCCGCAGGAAGTTTCTTGATGAAAGCGGAATAGAAAAAGTGTATTTATCATACAGGGAGCCTTGTATGAGTTTCATTTAATCTACGTATTTATAATGTCAAATTACTAAAACAACCCTTATAAGTTGGAAAATCTATGATCAAGGTCATTATTGTCAGAAACACAGGCTCATTTGGCACAAAGAATTAATCATGCTGGAAGGGAAGGAAACGAAATGAAATGAGAAAATTCCAAGCACTGACACGTTTGATATGCATTTGAATGAAGAAATTTATATTTGATAGGAAGAAAATGATAATATAATGGAAAAAGGAAAGAGCGACTCACTTTAATATCCTTATTTGAAAATAATAATAAAATATTTGATTTCTTGTTATTATTAATAAAAAAATGTCAGAATAATTATTTATGATTATACTCATGTTAATTCTCCTAATCCGGTTCATTTAATTTTCTAATTAAAATCTTAGTTGAATATCATTTATTATTATAATTTAATTATCATTATTATAATACTATCGCTGGTCTTTAATATAAGAACTAGTTAGCTAATTTGAATAGATTAAGAAAACTAGTTAAATTAATTATTTGTAATAATTAGATATTGTTCTTCTTAAAATATCATTAATAATTAAGTGTATTAACTAAAATTATTATTATTACAAGGGCCATGTTAAGAAAAATAGATAAATATGAAAAACAAAATGAATTAAAATCTTATATTTACAAGTAAAATAAATATTGAACTAGGGAGAAGAAAAAAAGAATAGCAAAATTGTCATTTCAAATGTGGGTCCCACCACGGTCCAGGAATTTGGCTCCCCCGTGTTCCAGACTTCCAGCGTAGAGATGGGAATTGGTGGGCCCAGGAAAACGTCTTTCCACATGAAAGATGCTACCAAACGTCTTTGCTGCTGGAAAACGAGTTATTCTCCATTTCCGGTTGCTTCGCTATACTATTTTCTCTGTACCAAACAGGCACAAAGATGGAAAATTGCAACACGACGCAAACCAAGGAATCTGCGAGCTAGATCGTTGAATAGCCACCACCTGAGGAGTTCGATTAGAGATTTGTAAGCTACAGCGATCCTCTGCCGTCGCTAACGCCGTCAAAAGCTTTGAAAAAGCTTTGGAAACACAAGTGCTTTTGTCGTTGTCGTTTGTTCGCTGGTGAGATGTCATCCGAGGTCGCTGAAATTCCTTGCCGGTCTTCCCTGTCGTCGCCTGATCGTCACCGTCACTGGAAGAGTTAGAGGGAAGAAGGGATAAAATGGGGGGGGGGGTAGAGAGCTGAGGAGGGCAACGACGTGAATTCCATGAAATAAAATTCAGGCCTTTTGGCTGGAATCAGAATTCCTAGGAATCAAACATGCTTTCAGCACATAATCCATTTCTAATTCTGATTCCATGTTCAGGATTTCCACCTACCAGACAGGGCCTTACTTTTGAAATGCTTTTGAAATTAATTTGTAAACAAGTTAAGTTCATCAATTTTTTCCATTAATTAATTTGCTCGGAAGCTTCCACGCCCCAAAACATTCTCACTTTTTTTCTCCTTTTATACAGATACAAAGGCAAACACTAAAACAATCAAAAATCAAAGATTAGGGGCCATGTGCCCATAATTCAAATCCTAATGCGTAAGAATCTTACACTAAAATAAAGATTCCAACATAAGATTGCATTCTCCGGTCAAAAAAAAAAAACATAAGATTGCATTCTGCTTAAATTATGATTTTAAGTACACAAAACTCGAATAAATTAATTGGTGCACATATTGATTTTGTTGCAGCCTTAGATAATAGCTTGTGTAGCCCCTCTCATTTCATGAAGGGGATTGGATTTTTAGATGGAAAGAGCTGAGACGCATTTCATTGTGATGCCTTTGGAGTTGCTGAGAGCATAAGCCTGACAAAATAATAATAATTAATCAATCATAATTACTATGATTTTTGCTCTTAACATATCAATAATTGATTTGTGAAAAGGCCTGATTAATTACCAAACGACTCTTTATCAATTTGGCGCTGTGTACTTCATTTTTCGAGGAAGTAATAATGTCTTTCAAGTTAACGTTCATGTCACAATCCATAGCAAGCTGCAACAAAATGGAACGATCCAACAAGCTAGATCAGGTCTCTAGGCAATAACAATTCATCAAGATCAATATATGCGTGTGTGTATGTATTTTATCGAAGTTTTAAATATAATTTATATCCATGGCATATATACAATATATTAACAAAACATTAATGAAATCATAACCAAACAACAACAGCGAAATTTATCCCACTAGATACTAAATAGGATCAGTTATATAGACCACACGATATATACTATAACTAAATAAAAAAAATTGCTTAAATTAGAAGAATGATTTCATCTCCCAAACTAAAGTATATATAATACTAATGAATAATTAATGTGGAGCTTAATAATTTTCTGTACGTTGCTTCCGCAATGGGAGGAGATAGAGGATGTTTTTCAAATTTGAGGTACGTACATATGGTAAGGTAAGCGTGCATGAATAAACTTGAGTTACTGGATATGGAGCTTGTCAAATAATCATCTCTCTCAAAAATCTTAGTAATATATTAAGTATCAATTTAATTGATCACTAATACGATATAGTAACAAGTTAATTATATGAATAACTATTAGTAACAGAATAAAATAAAAAGATGGAAACGAGACTCTACTTTCATATTTAGAAAAATGATAATAATATTAAATAATAAATATTACAAAAAATATGTATTGCATCATATCAAATAAATGAAGTTCATATTATATTTAACTTTAAAGTTGTAAATATTCAGAGCAAAGCAGAGTAATGAATCTAATCTGATCTAAATCAATATGGGAAAAAAGAGAGAGAAAAGTCACCTTTATACTAAGGAAATTTAGATGAAGAAACCAAAGATGGACCTTGGCATCTCCTAAGATTTTCATGTCAGAAATGTTCCCTTTTGACTCATCATCACCAGTAGTCTTTGAAGCCTTGGCCAAGATTTTGGAGACATTGACGCACTCTAACAAAACACGACAATGCACCACAACATCTTCACTATGAGGAGGCTGAAAGAACCTCGGAATTCGTATGGTTCCTATGGGAAAATCCTCGTGATAGACATGGAACCTCGCAGGACTAAACCCTAATCCAAACTTGTTATGATTTTCAGCATTAAGGGTCAATGAGAGCACAGACGAAAACAGAAGGGTTAGGTTAGAGTTACTATCACTGTCAACATCGTAAAAATCCATGTTAACCTCTCGAACTGAGAAAACTGGCTTGTGGGGTTTGATGATTATGATCACAAAGAACGTAGATAAGCCGATTATTATGAGGGCGATGAGGAAGAAGATGAGGAGAAAGAAGCAAAACTTTTTGAAGGAGAAGTTATGGAGGGAGAGTTCTCTGCAACAGAAGCAATTTGAATTGCGGGTAGGGTTGGAAGCCTCCATGTTTGGAGCTTTAGAAGTAGTTAAGAGTGAAGTGGATTGGAGAATAATAGGCGTGTCTGGTCTTATTGGTATAATTAAGGAGTATTACTTCAATGGCATTAAGGAGGGAATGTGATTACTTCCTTTTATCGTTAGCTGACAGTTATTCCTTTCCATATTGATGCCAAAACGTTTTGAAGAGAAAACCTGTGCAGCAAGCAACTTCTTCCTTCTGGCTCTTATCTCTTTAATTAATTATTCAAATCCCATGTGAATAAAATGAAATTACTTGGGAAAACTTTTCTGAACTTTTCTCTCTTAAGAAAAAGAAATTCTCTTATTTGATGGGCACTTTGAGTCTTAACTATTTTTTAAGAATGCAGTGCTCGATGAAGAAAGCTGTGACAAGTGTTCACCGGAGAAGAGGAAGAGGGTGTTGCCGACGGCTAGAGCTCCTGAAAATTTGAAGACAATCGAACAGAAGGAGGAAGTATTTGACCAAATCTAGAAATTCGAAGAAAGCCCAGGGATATTTTAGTCATCAGAAATAGATTCCCAGGAAAGTATGGATTTTCATGGGTGGAAATCCATTTCTTAGAAACACAATTTCATGCCAACCACACTACAGGAAGTGGAGCTTCCATTTCCCAGAACCCATTTCCACCGAACCAAACAGGGTCTTTTAGGCGGACACGCACAAAGGATCTTTTTAAATAGTCAGTCGGCACCCTTTTCACCTTTAAGCAAAATATAAAAACATGTGACCTAAGCCCGGCGTTGGGGCGAGAAAAAAGCCGGACATGCATGTTTCATCTTTCATAATTCAAAAAAACGGGGGAGAAAACAGAGGAAGACTCTGTTTTTTCCCCCTCTTTTTATTGGTCAAAGTCGGAATTGTCCGACCACTGGGTTTATGAGGGAGTTGAAAAAAAAAAAAAGCAACACGGAGGATCCTCCGCGGAGGTTACAGAGGGACAAGAGTCTGGGAATCACATGTCGTAATTTGTATGATACTACGTATGAAACGAGGAAATATTATTTATTAACTTGACGCACGCTCTTTTTAACTTTGAAAACTCGACAGAATCTAAATCTAAATGTGAGATATGATTGTGAAAACACAATACTGTGAGCAGCAATAAAGGAGAGCAAGAAAGCTGACACGTAGACGACGACAATCACGAGGGCTTTGCCTTTGTGGTTCATATTTTGATTCCTGACTGACATGAATATTTGCCATCTGCCCTCGTAAATATATTTGCATGCATCAGCATCGCTTGTGAATGAATGAATCAGACCAAACATAAATCTCGTAACTTGTAGCCTCCATCATCAAACCTTGCAATTGGTCCACAATTCACTCACACGCGTCCATGCCTCCCACGTGACACATTCCCCAGCAAGTGGCCTCTTCTTGAATTACGGCTGCCGAGTGAATTATTAGACCAAGGCCTCTAAAGTCTGATAATTGTCAGGTAAAGTTTGACTTTAATTCCAAGATATTTCATTGCCATTCAATTAAAAATATTTACCGAGTATGAAAAGTAGGCTGGCGAAAATAAAACGAGCATAAAATGGGGTTGTTGGTTATTCATGTTTGTAACTGTTGAAATTTGGGAATCGGGTTATCCTGCCTCTCTCTAGAATCTAGAATTCAGCAAAAGCTGCAGCGGAAATAACCTTTCATGGCAATGACAGACAAAACTAACATGGGCACAAGGATGGCCTCATAATGAACCATGATAAAAGAACACAAATTAATATCGATCAGCAGTCAAGACTGTATCACAATACCATATATATAAGCATCCTTATATATATAAACATTTTAACCCAAAAAAAAAAAAAAAAGAACATAAAAATGTCCCCAAAATTAAGGTCTTTAACAGGGTAAATTAAGGACACCTAAAATAGGAATAAGACCCCAAAACCTCCATTAGCTACCAGTGAATAACCTCCACACATGCTTTAAGCGGGTTTTACTTTCTCACACCAACCATCTCCAACAACGGTGACAAACCATTCCTGAAAAACCAATCAAATGTATAACTAAGCTCATTCTATTACAGGAACACTAAAGAAGCAGCTAGAAGAGGGTCATGAAAATTACTAACTTGTAGCTTTATTTACATTAAAAAGGGGTCATTGAAGAAAGGAAGCTCAGTAAACTCCCCCCATCATGGATGGAGGAAGGTCATCAAAGCTCCAAAGGCTCATTGGGTTAGCACCATCCTGGGTTGCGTCTCCACTGAGCAGGGCTCCCAGGGAAGCATCATCCCAGCTTCCTTCAAGATAAGGTGTCTGGAAGAAATTCAGTTGGGTTTCAATGTCAGCGAGTTCATCCGATAGGGTCTTCCCAGAACCATTTCCAGCAGGTACCACATTCTCAGAGTTTGAGTATTGCATGTTGTTGTTGTTGTTGTTCTGGTTGGCATCTTGCAGATACTGAGATTCACCAGAAAGCATGGATGAGATTTCTGGGGTCTTTGGAGCCTGTTCGCCCCATCCGAAATCAGAGTAGTCGAATGAGTTGCTCGCCTGATCAGAACTGAAATAGACAGTGACATCATCAGATGATGACAGCGACGGGACCCCATTGTTAGTCTCAGGGAGGGATCCCATGTTAGCAGCAGCAGCAGCAGCATACTGGTTAATCTGTGGTTTCTGTTCCATCAGCCCCATGGAGTAGTAATAGTCCTCCAGATTGGTTCCAGCGTTGAAGTTTTGGGTTGAATTGGGTTGAGCAGAGTTCAGATTGGTCTTTGGAAGAGGCTTCTCGACTTTAGTCTTGAGACGCTTTGATGAAGTGCCTGAGACCTCATCAGGGAAGTTGACCTTTGCTTTCTTGCCGCGGATCCTTCTTGCCTCGGCATCATAAGCTCTTGCAGCTTCTTCAGCAGTGTTGAACGTTCCGAGCCAGACACGAACACCCTTCCTTGGGTCACGGATCTCAGCTGCCCACTTACCCCATGGACGCTGGCGGATTCCCCTGTATTGGTTCTTCCTCCTCCTTTTCAAAGACTTCTCAGCTTGCCCAGCAGATTTATCAGCTTTCGCAGTAGCAGATCCTTCAACATCATAGAAAAGGAAATCAATAAATCATCAGAATAATGAGAATAAGCTCCTCTTTTTATTCCTAAGATCATTAAATAATTCTTAGGTTGCAATTGTTCATCATCTCGGTCTATCAGATGGATAATATACACATTAACTCTTGAAAGGAATCAAACAGATTTATCATAAGAAGCGAAGTATTAATTTAACCTAACCAGCAACCGAATCAGAAATGAACTAATGGACACTGAAAGGGGAAATCCAACTTAAGCAGCATATTTACATGATCAGACACAAATTACCAGTCTGTCATTATTTCCAGAAGACCACACAAGCAAAAGAAAACGTTTACAATCGGATCTACAAATTCATACATATGCTGAAGCCAAACCTCTTTCTGATTAAGAAACAACTTCAATCTCGTTTTTCGCTCAAAACGAAATATCCCAAATTTACAAGGATAACACATAAATTCAGGACTGCTTGAAAATTTACGCCTGGGAATTTACACAATGGATCCACAAAATCATACCAAATTAACTCACTTGAAACTGAGATGATGAATCCCAGAGCCCGTGCACAGTTCATTAACACCCATCAAGGAGAGGGAAAATTATTTTTTGTAAAATTTGATTCTAAAGAGACGCCAATATCTGTACTAAAAGAAGGCCTAAAACTTTTCTACGGGGAGATGACAAGATCTAAGCGATTGATCTTATTTCCTGCAAAGATAATTTTCATATGCAAGGAAAAAGAATTCCATAGTAGATTTTATTTTTGAAGGAACTCAAAAATCATAGGCCATAGACAAACAAAACGGACTCCGATTTGATAGAAAACGCAAACTTCAAAAATTTTCAGGAAAATAAACCAGGAAATGAAAATGAAAGAGAAAAATCATCTTTTTCCATCAACACAGAACAAGTCCAGCCACCGACAAAAGAATCACACAAACAAATGCGCGAGAAACATCCAACAACAAATTTCATAAGAAAAAAAAAATGAATCGTGGAAAATAATCTATCAAGCCATCCTCACAGAAATTTTGAGTAGGATGAGAAAATAGTTACCACGGGACAGGGGCTTCTTAGAGGGCTTAGTGGCGGAGGAAGCAAAGGGTTTGACATCATCCTCTTCATCCACATCAATATCGGAATCATCCTTGAATTCCCTGAAATCAGCTTCAAAATCATCGTCCAAGTCGATGACAGCTTCAGACTTCAGTGGCTTGGAAAACCTCCCACCAGACCCAAGCTTATTCAAATCTGGCCACAGGTAATCGGCGGTGAGCCGGCGAGACCTCCCCCTCCCGGCCGCCGCCGCAGCAGCAGCTGCCGGAATGAAGTCGGAGATAATAGCACCTCCACACATGTTTGTATTGCCTTCTCTGGACGCTCAGCAGAGCTTTTCTGTTACACTCTGAAAGGAAAAATGTAAACTCAAAGCTTTTTCTTTGGAAATGGAAGCGATGTCTTCGAGGGTTTGATGATTCTGAGTTTGGTGACAAGATAGGCGGTAGGGAGCGCTTTATATATTATTTTTTTCAGCAATGGAGTAAGTAGCTGCACATGCAGAAGAGGAACTTTTCGTTTACCATTATGCCCTTGCTTGAGCTCCTGAATTACCGCCATGAAGGCTAGAAGAACAGAGACTGGACTTCCAGCTTTACTGGCTTAGTCAGCTGGCGCATTCGTAACACGCGTCTTTGACAATGATTTAGAATTATAATTTTAAAAAGAGAGAAAATTAATTATCATGCAAAATAAAAAAAACAACTATAACTTTAGTTTACTTAATATTATGATTGATATAAATAGGACTGGTTATACCTAAGAATTAAAATTTTCTTTGTTTCTTTTTGCATGGACCACAATTTTATTACATATCACAAATTATGATAGAATCATGAATGGGGAATTATTGTGGTTGATATTTTTGTTAATTGTTAATTGGTGGTGCTACAAGGTTGATGAGTAGAAATGTAAAAATAACAATGACTAAGAAGATGAAAATTGAATGAAGAGGTAAATTAGTGAGAAATCAGATCGAACATATTTATATTCATATTTAAAATAATAGAATAGTGTCATGTTAGTATAAATTAAGATGTGAGTTCTAATGACATGTAGGGTCATTATGACTAAATATGAAAGATTAATTAAATCCTAATAATTAAACTTGTTCTTCTTCCCGAGATATAACTAAATTTTATTACACTTCATGTTTGTGATAAAATCTTAACGATTAATCATGAATAGTTAAGGATCAACAAACAACTATACACTTATCTAGCTAGATTAAATAAGGATATTAATTGCCATGTTGTGATCAATAAACATGTGTTAAAAAAAGTTACTGTTTGCCATAAGATGCACTCTTTGTAGCTTATAATATAAAAAGTTACTATTTTCATTAAGTATAAATGTCAATGGTGAATATCACTTTACAAATTGGAAGGGAAGTTTTTATTTAACAAAGAAAGAAAATTAAATTAATTGGGAATAAGCAAGAAGGTGACGGGGAAACCTGCTATTTCGGTAATTAAGGTAGTTTGAGGTGGACGAGGATAGGGGCAAAAGCGGGAAAAAGAGGTAAAAGGGACATGGGTAATATTGTAAACTTACGTGGTCAAAAGAATAAAAAGAGTTGAGTTTTTCTACACTTATATTGGATGAAAATCCAATGTGATTAAAGTTTATTCATGTATCCACTGTTGGTGGCCAAAAAAATTCATGTATCCACATTAATTGATCAATAAATATCTTGGATCTCAAAAATCATAGAGATGGAGTAAAAGAATACCTCCCCTTATTAATTTCATCACAGATTTACCAAATAAAAAGCTAACATTTATTACCATAAATAAATCAAGTAATTTTGGATCTCTCTATTGGTTTTTGGGATCCTCAATTGATTACCATCTTTATTATCAAGTCAACCTATACAATAATTATAGAGATGTAAAAATAAGGTTAACTTTTATTTTTTTAAAAACATATATATTATGCTTAAGAGTTAAGACATTGGAGATAAAAAGTTTAAAAAAAAAAAAGGCATTGTAATTTACATAATTTGTTGACAAAAAAATTTATATAATTAGACACATTTCCTGATATATCACATAATTTTAAAGAATTAACTGCAGTGATAATGATTTGTGAATTATGCAACTTATTATAAATTTTACTACTCAATGGAAACTTTATACAAATAAATTATCTGAAGGTAAGAAATAATAATAAATTAATTTTTTTATAAATGAAAGCATTTAAAGGCATTTAAACTAATACTCTGATCTTACCATTAATGCTTTAGATTTTTCATCTTTTAATGCTTCAGATTTTTTTTTATGAGTTCCGATTTGTATTTTAAAAACAATTATGGAAGAGAAAAAGGAAAAAAAAGTTCAACTTTAGATAAATACAATTACTGAAAGTAAAGTGTATTGATTATATTCTCTCTGTAATAAATGCAGCACCCAAAAAATCTGAAGTCAACTCCTGATTTATGAACGAAGCCTCTGTCTTAATTTTTAACTCAATTTAAATTTAAATTAAAATAAGATAGCCAAATATGGTAAATACCTTATAGCTAAATGCATTATTTAGATTAAGTGATGATTTTCATTGTTATTTGCCTTTGTCCCGCTAAAATAATGGACAATTATCTTGCAAAACAATTCAAAATATAATTGTATGAAATTATAACAAAATATTGCATTAAATGGATCTTATTACATAAACTGTACAAGTTAATAACGAAGTGCCCAACGCGAAAAAAAAAAAAATTCTATTTCAAAACCCATAAGGCCGCAACTCATGCGTTCATTAACGTACCAAATCCATGGTGATTACCGATTATTATTTGAACCCAAGAGTCATACGCTTTTTAATTAATTTTAGAGAACTTGAAGTCATAGACCTCTATCATAATTCATAGCGGAGATAATTATTAAGTACCAAGCGTCCACTTAAATGCTTTTTTTTTTTTGACGAACCCATGGTACTTATTACTGGTAGGAGCCCTAAACTTTTCTGAATGGGTTTTACTGTTAACCATGGGATTTTTTTTTTTTTCCACGTACATGGTTAGAAATCGAACTCCTAATTAAATACTTGAGAAACCCAACTAAATGTTAATTGTTCTAAGCCCTCGTGTGGTTCTCAAATGCATTTTGATGACTCAAATATTCTAAAATAGGACTTCCTCTTGTCCTATTTAGAAGCTTTAAATTTATGAATGGGTATGGTTAATTTTATAAGCTTTAATTTCACTTTGCCTTCATTTTTAATGTATTTTTCTCATTTTGTTCTTAATTATTTATTCTTTCTCTTTTTTCATACTATCTCTTATCATATTTTTCAACACATTACTTTTTATTCTTTTTCTCATTTATTACGAAGCCATATTTGAAAACGAAATCATATTTCTAACCAACTTATTAGTTTTAACTAATTTTAATTAATAGTTTTTTTATCTATGAATTAACTGTTGGGTTAATGTACATCCAACACCCTAAAGTATTTTGATGTCTATCTAACACTCTGAAATATTTTTTCAGATGTGTTTAACACCGTGAAGTATATTTTGATGCATCCAGTACCTCAAAATATTTTTTTTAGGTACGTCTAATGTTCAAAAATATTTTTTGATGCATCCAGCACTAACGCAAAAAAATATTTCAAGGTACTAGACATATCTAACAAATATTTTGAGATGCTGAATGCATTACAAACTACTTTAAGGTGCTGGATACATCTGAAAAAATATTTTAGGATATTTAATGCACCTTAATTCTTAATTATTTGAAACATATAATAAGAACGGAGGTGATATTATTAAAACGCAAGCTGCTATCTAAGTACTTAAAGAGTATTAAATCATTTTTCACCCCATCAACTACGCATAGTAAATTTAGATGCTTTTCATGGGGGGTTTAACAGGTGGGTTTTTTTTATGTCAAGTATGCAAATAATATTACATTATTACATATGTTTTCATAATGTATTGAGTGAAAGAAAGGCATGTGCTCCCCCCCCCCCTATTTAAATATGGGCTTTATTTAATTTGATGATGAAAATCACGTATCAGTCCTCCTTATCCTCTACTTTCCTTTATTCTAAATATAAAAGTTTATTCTAAATATAAGAATTAGATAATTAACTTATATATATTAAAAAATTAACGAGATTAGTTGTGTTAATAAATATATATTAGTTTTCCTAACATATCTCGTTTAATTATTATTTCTATTAATGGAAACTCCACTTAATATATGCAATCAATGAAAATAGTTTGGGAAACAACTTATAAATTTAAAAGATAAAATGAATTAAAATCTTGAAGTGGAGAGAAAAAAAAATGAGGTGATTACTGCGCAGACATATAATCAATGAGGTTAAAAATAAAAAAAGCAAATTAAAACTTGCTTATAAAATGAATCAGTATTCGAGCAAATTATGACTTATAGATGATATTAATTATGTATAATTAATTTATCTATTTTGTTGAAGAACTAGTTTTAAAAAAAAAAATCCTCATATTTACACCAAGAAGAAGGAGTGATTATGAATAATTGGGTGAGAAGAAAGAGAAGAGGTGGATGAATCACATGGGTGATCTGATTTGAGGCAATCGTAAAGAGTTACTACAACACAAATCGGCAATCAATGATTCTTAATTCCAAAGTTGGGAGGCAACGTCCCCACCTAATGTTTGTGGGTGGTTTCACCCGATTTGACCGCATCAAATAAAAAGCCCCCCCTCTGCGTTGAACTACCACCTAACTCCTTCTCTTCCCCCTCCCAAAAAAAAAAAAATCTTATTCCACAAATTATATTCATTTTTTCTTTCCACCTATGTATATATAACTATATGTACAACATCAAATTTCATTGAAAGAACCTCAAAGCTGATTATTAATGTAAAAAGAGCAATGAGGGTGAATTTTTTAGATTTTACTTTATTCCCACATGCATAATTATTTATCTTGCTGTTTGTATTAGTTCTAGCACGTGCTCACACCATGTAGCGAATTAAGATTTGAATTTTTATTGGAAGAAATACTTACATTTAGTGCTTGTAGTGTATCGGGTGGAATTTTCTTTAATAAGATGATATTTATGCTTGACAAATAAAAAGAAAACAAGAAGAAGATGCTCGTAACCTAAAATGATTTTTCTCTTGGTATGCATGAAGTTTAGTTCTTCTTGGTGAATGCAATTTTTTTTTCCTGAAAAGAAAGGACTTTTGAGTTTTGACTGTGGTGTTAGTTTTCACAATTGGACTTTTTATTGTTTGGCTGGAGAGTGGAAAGGGCAAATGGGCAATATTATTTGGTGCCGGTAGATTTAATTGTCACTGCACGTGCTTTTAATTACTTTAAAATGTTTAATTACTGTTCATCATTTATAAAAATAAACTAAAAGGTCAAAATAATGGAAGATTATACTGTTAAAATTCAGAGTATCCTAAATACAAGATCTGACTAAACATTTCAT